TTTCCATTCAGGCATGTTAAGATCATCATAAATAGCCATGAACTAAAATCAAATCCTTCTGCCCGAGTTTATCGAAACAGTATGCTCGACGAACTTTAAAAAAAATCATAACAAATTCATTTTAACCCAAATCACAAAATTCAAAAACTCACAGAAACTTCATTTAAAGCACTACAAATCTCATGAAGAACACTTGTCCAAGAAATATCATCTTGTTTGACAAAAACAGAGCCTAAATGAAGCTCGAAAAATTGAGTTTTCATGCCTTCATCAACTCAAAATGATCACACAACAACATAGCCTCGATATCAATACCTTAAGACTTAAACATTCGATATATAATCAAACACGTTGTCCGAGGTCCAACTCGGTCTTATTAAACAAGATAGAAAAATAAAGTCTTACGTCTTTCACTTGAATTATTACATCTTTTGGTTTGATAATATATAATAATTCACATTAATACATAAATTCAACCTCAATCATCGAAGATCACATATATATCAAATGAACCCGACCAAATGTATCATGATATAAATGAGACTCTCAACCAAATATACTTATCTCATCATATCACAAGTTTCGAGAGGTATTTCTAGCTTTTAACCGAAACACATAAACATGCTAGAGCATCAAATAAACACATATCCTAATCTCTTGCCCAACTAATCATGCTTCGCGCTAGCATGAACTCACCCTTACTAAGGCATAAGAGACATTAAACACATAACATACCAGAGGTTGAACAGAGGCCATGAACATCCATAAAAATGACAGCCTATAAGATATTGACTCATCTCATAATTTTCGAAACCTGACAAAGGTCCGAAGAGGGAGAATACATTCTCGGTTCTCATTGACCGGGTCCTCACTTGAAGACATTGAATATAATTATATAGCAAAGGAAACTGCTATGGGCATAACTTATCTCGATAACAACATACTGAACCTCATAACGAGGAACATATAGAGTCCGAACTTAACTCTATATCACTAGAGTTCAACATCAAACACTAGAGTTCACATTAAACGAAGGTGGATAGATCCTAAGCCCCAAAAGTCAATAAGTCATAACATAAGCAGTTTCATTACTGCCTATGTAAAAATATAAAATTTCACATCTTCACATTATAAGTATTTTCATCGATACTTATATAAACATACCTTTAAGCAGCGCGGCGTGACGAAGACGAGTGGTCGGATACAATTTCTAAACACTTAATCACATATAAACCAGTCTACAGAAATGCAGACTGGCTCTGATACCAAACTGTAACGCTCCACTTTATTTTAAAGGATTTATCGAATCTATTTAATAAAAATCACAATAAATTTTTCGCAAACTTTAATTTAATTAAAAACTCAGTGGGCGCTACTCAAATTTACCAAAAGCCTTTATCCGAAAAAGCAACCACCTTAAAACGAAAGATAGCATGCTCGAATATTAAATCATAAACCTCACTAGCATTCATTAAGTTCCAAAATCATAAAATACAATTCATAATTCTCAAATTCAAAACGACATAATCAATATCCAAATTTTCAACATGAGTTCATAAACTAAGCGGAAGCAAAATTAAATAAGCAATAATAAATGACATAACCACCACTCGTCTTGTCTCGTCACCCGCCAACTGCTTAACCTGCATCAGTTACGAGCAGGTGGGAGTGAGTACAGTTAACTATCGTACTCACACTATGCATATGAATAACATAATAATGGTATGGTCGCAGCATGAACATAAACAATAAAATCATGTCACATCTCTAGCCACATCAATGACTATAGTCTCATCAAAGACTCACTCATGTACATCTATGCTCATCAAAGCTAAGCCATGCCATATCAGTGAAACATGGGAGTGCGTGCCACATCAATGACACGGCCTTCTCATAGGTCTTATGAGATTTACCTCACAGGGTAACCGTATCTTATCATACGGGGACAACCGTATCGACGGCCATCAAGCTCACATCGATAGGCTACATGTTCATTTTCATACATAGATCACACCAAACTTTCATCACAATTTAAATCACACATATGCATAGATAATTTTAGAATAACCCACCTGGATTCCGGATTGATAATAACTCAAAGCAATTGGAAGTAGGTCGAGGCTGGACTCCTCAATTACCTACATTGAGTCAAGATGCTACAATCAACATCTATCTTGACTTTAAACGGAAAACACAAAACAAACCTAGTCAAACTTGTTTCGACTAAGTAGTTCGTGAAGTCTTGTGGATGTTGGAACACTAAGACTCGGCACTAAACTCGACCAACAAACATGTGAGAGTTCAAATAATTCCATCTAATGATAGACCAAGTCAAACTCACAACAGAACGAAAAGCATGTAAATCACAGATTTAACTTCAAAATCTTAGTTTAGAAATTTCTAGCTATTAATCACATGAAATTCATTGACCAGGCTGCCCTACGACTTATATCTTGACATTTTAACCAAAATTACATCTCCCAGTAATTAGTAAAACCACCAAATTTCAGCTTCAAACTCAAAGTACATAAATTTATAAAATTCCTACAAGAATTCAGCAAAATGGGCACATTAATTCATACTCAGACTTAATGAATGAATCTGATCTTGAAAATTTTACACAAGAACCTAAAGTATGCCAAAGTACACTTGTAAAAATCTCAGCCTTAAATGATAACTGCTGCTATTTTTAAAAATTCAAACGAGCAACAGCAGTTTATCGAATTTAAATCCAAACGGAACCAAAACGGACTCCAAAAATTCCCATCTTTTACAAACACGATTAAACACTTAAAATAAGCCTCTCAGTAAAAATTTAGAATTTTTCATGCAGTAACCAATTTATAAAAATTCAAACATATTTCTGCAGATTCGATAAATAAAATATTAACCACATCAACTCAAGTCCAAAAATTCTAAAAATTGAACACAACACATATAAGTCATAGAGGCATGACATATTCGAATTTCAGCTCATTTCAGTCAAGTATGAATTTATTATGCATTTAACAATATTCTGGACAGAATACAAATTAATTATTAAAAATAGCTACAGGTCTCCAAAAATTATGAAAATTTTATACAAGGCAGAATATGAACAGATAACACATCCCTAAAAATACATCGTTTCGAGCAGCGAGTTATGTTTAAAAATTCGAAAATCAAAACAGCGATTAACAAGCTCGACAACTTGACAATTAAATCACAACACACAATTTATCGTCCGAGGCCTTTTCATAAGACCAAGGACTCGACATTGTTCCATTATCCACCGACTTACACGACTTTCGAGGTCTCGTTCGATTTTTGAGAAAAATCGAAGAGATCCCGAACATACGAACACATAAAATCACAACAATTCATATATTTGCACATATTCACTTAATAAATCACATCATATATAACACGAGCACTACACGAACATGAACAACTCAACGAAACATATATGAATTAAACGAGACGGAAAAACGACGAGGTACCGTTCTCGGAAATCGAGCGAGAATGGGTTCGAACGAGCTCGACGGTAAACTCGTCTCGCCGGAAAAAAGAGGGCTCGTCGCACGGGAAGGAGAGAGGAGTCGCTGCTGCTGGTTCACGAGCTCGCCGGAAACGGAAAGAGAGGTCGCCGGACTTCACGCACAGGGGTCGCCGGAGGAAAGGTTGTCGTCACCGCGAAGATGGGCTCGTCGGGGTCTGCTGGTCGCGGACGGAAAGTGGTTTCGCTACAGAGGGTTGCGCGGTGGAGGAGCTCTCGTCGTCGGGGTTGTAGTGGCTATGGAGGTTCGCCGGAGAAGGGCTCGCAACAGGTTTCACATGAACAGGGGCGACGGTTTTTTTCTTTTCCTTTCGCTGCACGATATCTGAGAGGAGAGAGGGATCTGCGGGGCAGATTTAAAAGAGAGAGCGAGAGAGATTTTTTTGCGATGGCGAGTAATTTTCTTTCTGTCCAGCGTGATCGAGAACGACGAAGGAGGAAGGAGAAAGACGAGGCTGCGGGATTTTCTGATTCGCGATGGAGGGAGAGAGTGAGAGATAGATGCCGAGAGATGAGAGAACGAGAGAAAAAGCTGCGGGTCGCGTTTTGGAGAGGGAGAGAGATACAACACTAAAAAATATATACACACGCTTAGGTTTAGGAGTTCTTGATTTCCAAGAAATCTCACTACAGTCACGCACGCGGATTAGGGAGAGCACAATCGGGCCGGGTTCTGGGCTAGATGGGCCGGTCTTGGAACAATGAATCGGTTCACGGGCCCGGGTTCGGTTCACGCGGGTATTTTCGGGCTCGATTAAAACGCACGATTAATAAATTCGGGTCTCGGGCCCGATTCAATCACACGAAAATAAATTCAGCTCTCGGGCTCGGGTTCTCCGATTACTAATTTCGACAGCTCAAATCGATTGCACGGCAAATAAACAAAACTCCGGACAATGTAAATTAAATACGTACATTATTTGAAAATACTAATATTATAAATCAAAATATACAATTAGCAATTAATTGACAATTAGACATATAATATCTAGGCATTCAATTTGGCAAGCAATAATTAATAATATCACAATAATAATAAACATCCATAATAATAATAATAATAATACTTCAAATAAACCACAAATAAATGGGGCATTACAGTTACGGGCCTCGGAACCGGCAACCACGGGCCGGTCCGGCCCGTGGCCATCTCTAGATTGGGGGCATCAATTTAGAAATTAGATAATGCACAGCGATTAAGTTGCAATTTTAACAGTTTTAAGATTTTGCAATTAAGGCATTTGGATAAAGTTGTAATATTTAAAAATATAATTTAACAATTTAATTAACTCAAAATAATATTTTATATAAAATTAAATTATTTTAATTTTTAAAAAAATAAAAAATTTAATATTTTTTATAAAATCTTATTAAATTCAACACCTGTGGAATATACAGATATTGTACTAGTAAAAATATTAAAAGAAAAGAAAATACCATCAGTCCAACTACTAGTCCAACGAGTAAACTATTGAACTTGTAGCTTTACTCGGATTTGGGTTGGGCTTAGACGAGAGAGATTTGCACAAATTCTCCTAGGTCATTTAAATAATACCTCGGCCGGCCGCAAGCTATCTATAAACGCCCACAATTGATAGTTTCAACTTTGAAGGAAACCCAAACTTTTGTGAGAAGTAAGAATATGGAGAACCCGAAGGGCGATGCAAAGGTATTCTCTGTATTTTCTTTGTCTATTCGTAATAATGTTCGCTCTGATGTGTGAGTGCTGTTACTTTATTCTTATGATGATTATTCAATTCAACTCTGGATGTATCGGTCGGTGTCGGATTTGGGGTTGAAATTAACTCTTCCTTGAAGCTATAGATAAATAATATTGTATGCGATTGTTTGTGTGTGTGTTTGTTTGATTGTGTAATCCTTTTGTATTGTGTCTGTTTCTTTGGAATTCCCAATTTTAAAACCAATTTGCTGCTCGAAAAAAAAAAAAAATAAAAACCTTTGCCAAGTCTTGTACTTGTTGTTACGTATGACGTGTTGTGATGTTTGATTGATGGAAATTTTTTTCGACTAGAAGTAGTGGGCCTGATAGAGAACTCAATCAAACGAACTGGAATTAATTTTCAGGATGGAAAAACTCTACCCAGGCAGAAAAGCGGGAAGCTTGCGCCAAGTGGGCCTCTCTATGAGTTTGACTACTATGACGATGTTCTTGGTGATGATGACGACGATGGAATGTCGGTAGATGAAGATGAATTAGAAGCGGATGAACATTTGTCTCCTCTTACCATAATATATGAAAGAGTATGCTCATATCGTTTATTAGTAGTGACGTGGGATTTTATCGTCGATTTCTTAATTCTACTGTTGACTGCGCCTTGTATGTATGTATATGCTGCAGGAGCAGACGCAGAAGGAGCTCTTGGATCTGGTCCAGCACCTCGTAAACGAACATCCCGAACTCATCCCATCAGCAAAAGAACTTCTGGAGGCCCTTCAGACTGATGAAAACAAGCATGCTCAAAAAGCGATGGAGCTTTTGAAAAACCCACACGTTCGCCAAGGTTTCGTGGAAATTTTTGCTGAGGGTTACGCTGTTCTCAGGTGTGTAGACATGCTGGCAGAGAATGCGCTGGAGGGCAGAACGGTTGCTAATAGGGTGGCTCGTATTAGACGAGATCCCTTGTTGTTTAAATGTGTCTCGGGCAAAGAGGACGTGGATATAATGGGGTTGGTTTCTCTCTATATATTTATATTCTATTCACATGTTTCTACAAATTAATTGGTCATTGTGGATGCTTAGATAGACTCATTATGATGCTTCTTTTAATTATATCCTGATTACCTGTTTTTTTGTTTTCTTTGATTTGTGAAGGGGAGCCTTGCGCATTTTAGTCGGGTACTGGATTGATCGAAGACTGGAAAGATGGCTTAGTGAACGGGCCTTTAACCTCAGTACGTGCATGAAAAAATTATTCCCAAAATATTCTGTCGTTGATTTTGCCTTTTAATGTTTAATCGAATCAACATTTGATCAATCTTCGGAATTGCAGTTTTGTCTCTAATTTTTCTTGTTATTATATCTTATTGATGTGCGTGCAGTCCCCCCCAAATTCGCAGCAATACACTAGTCCGCCCCCGTATTAGGGCTACAAACAAGATGTCTCAGATGGAGTTGGCTTCGCTGTGGGACTGCTTAATTTATATTTATGCTTTTTGTGTTGTGTAGTTGGGCATACCAACTCTTTGACATGTTCTGCATTACCAGGATAGGATATTCTGAATCCTTATGAATAGTTAGATGCAGTTTTTTTCAATACTTGCGTATGCCGTTTTATTAATTATTCCATGTTTTGTCAAACACATATATAAATATATAAATATATATACATATACAAGAAAGTTGGAAGAAGCAGACATGAAAAAAAATTATTATGGCACAAAAACATAAATGAATCAAACAAAAGGTATTCTATTTGCACCTAGCATCCACAAGAACATCAACATATTTAAATGGAATTTTCTCGTGAACCAAAAATTAAACATAAATTAATAAAAATGAGATTATTGAATTATGAGATAAACCAAGAATAGTGGTTTTAAATTAAACATAAATAAATAATATTAGTTAATGAATTATGAGCAATTAAATGAATGGTAACCCTAATAGAAGCAATAGAAGAGCATTGACAATATTAAAGAGGCAATAAAAGTTTCCACTTCCCAGAAACATCTGACTGATGGCTGACCTGCCCATTCGCAGTGTAGCAAACTGCAATGACCATTTCATGCAAACTATTCCATTAACAAGAATGCTCCATATCCACACCTTGGCACTATGATGAATAATTGCGTGTCCCCACTCGTGACTTCGCCTTGAACGTTGCGTGAGCTTCGATCTTCGGCGGTGGTGCGGACGACTTGGAGGTTAACTCCTTATCTTCTCGCGATAGGTGAGACAGCTCTTACGGTTGTCCTTGCCAAACTCGGCTTGCTCGAGCAATGCGGTGGAACGCCCTTCTCGTGACAAGGTTTTGCGTTAAATAACAAGAGAAATCTAACACAAGAATCTAACACAAGAGTCGTGTGACATGCCACACGAGTCGTGTTGCCGACAATAAGGTTTGATCATTGAGAATCCGATTGTGATCTCAACCAGAGGCCATTTTTGATGATTAATTATGTTTTGATGAGTATACAAGTTAATCATAAAATAGTTTATGATTAATTAAGTTTATAAGTTTAAATTGTTTATTATGTTCATTTCTTCACTCCATTATGATGTATTGCCACTTTACGCCTATAAATAGAGGCCTAAAATTCAGAGTTTTTACACCAAAGTTAAGTATCAAAAGTTATATAAGAGTGTAAGAGAGAATAAGTAGTAGAAACTTTGGAGAAGTGAAGAATTTGAAGTAAAGAATCAAGGTTTTACTGTAGCAAGAAGGAGGTAATTTACTTATCTTAAAGTTGCATGCTTAAGTTTATGTTTTGATAATGAGTTTACATGTTTATAAGTATGTATATCATGATTTAGAAGTTGAGATTATAATTGATTCTATGAATATAAAGAGTTAAAGTTGTTCAAGATCAATTATATGATATATGTGCTTGAATTGATGAGATATTGATAAAGATATGAATAAGCTGGAAAAGTATGATTTAAAGGAGTGATTCTATGTAAAAGAGGAGTACATGAGAACAAGAATTAAGTGATTTGGCAAAGTATAGCTTGAGTTATGAATTTTTGAAGATGAACATGCAAGATGAAGTTTATGTTCACTAATGAATTTAAATTCTCATAACTTGATGAATATACATGATAAAATTATTAAATTTTGATGACATGTATAATTATAAGTTGAGATTATGACTGTTAAGTTTCATAATTTAAAGATGAGAAATGAACAAGTTATGAATATAAGAAAGCATAAATGTAAAGATAAGTATATATATGCAAGAATATTCATGAAATGTTTAAGTTGTTAAAATGAGATGATTATGAATAATTCTCATATAAGTGATGAGTAATTTGATGAAGTTTTGGTATAATATGTTGAGTATACAATTTTATAAAGATTGTATTAAGTATGACATATTAATATCATGATTAAATGTTATGATTAAAAGTTGAAGTATGACTTGAGTTTATTTTCACTTTTAAGTTAATTAAGTGAAAATTTAATATAAGTCAATATCTAAAATTTGGGAGATATGATGTATGATGAATTAAGTATTTGATTGAGTAAACGATCAAGATGAGTTTATAAATCATGTTGATGATGTTGGAAAAAGTTAAGCATGTTTTGAGTTTAAGTACTCAATCAAGTTTAATGTGAAATTTAGTTATATTCACATTCGAGTTATTTAAGTGACATGCAAATATAAACCAATATCTATGATTTTTGAAGATATGATTTATATAAGGTTAAGTAATTAACCTTGAGTAAAAGTTTAAGAAAAGTTAAAATGTTTGATGACTTAATATTTATTTGAGACATATTAAGCTTATTGAATATCTTTAAGATTCGGATAAGTAAGAGTTAAATCTTATTGAGTATACGAGCATAGTACTTAGTATATTTGTTTACATTTTTATGTAGCTTGCAGATACAGCTACAGAACAACACTTACAGTTTTTCAAAAGAAGAAAGGTGGGGACCCAGACTGGGTATTACATTGAGTATAATATTGATATCATGTTCAAGGTATGTATACAGTTTAAGTTTATACGCTTGAGATGAGGAGGCATTCAGTTGTCTCAGAGTATATCCTAAGTTCTGATGGAGGCCGTTTGAGTTGCCTTGAGAAATATCCATCAGATTGTGCACACGTATCCGATAAATTATCGGCAAGAGAAAAGAAAAGTTTAAGTTATCGATCAGATATCGGTTTATGATTATCCATATTCGTTACTCACCCCCATGAGTTTTAGTTTCAGGTAACAGGTCGAAGAGGAGGTGTGAGTGGAGCAGTGTTGGTGTGGATCGTGGACTCAGATGAAGACAAGCTTTGATAAGGACATTTATAACAGTCTGTATAATTAACCACGTTTTCAAGTATTTCTGCTATGCACATTAAGTATTGAACTTGCATTTTAATGAATTTCAGATTTCAAGTTTTTACCATTATGAGAAATATGATTATGGTATTTTAAATGCAAGTTTAAAGGAAATCTGTTTTATTTATGTCTAAAGACGTATTAGACAAAAGTTTAAAGATAAACGGATTTTCAAGATGATGAGTTTGAGTAGCACCCCGAGTTAGTCGCAAAAGATTTCAAAAGAGTTAAAGTATTTTCAAAGTAAAAGTTGCGAAAAAGTTACTCTGATAAGCGGGGTGTTACAGGTGGTATCAGAGCTAGAGTAAGTGCTCTGTATACTAAAAGTTTAAGTTTCAGAAAACAGTTTCAGGAAAACCAACCACACCACACTCACACCTCGCCGACTACCAGGTAAGTGTTGTTAAAAGTTTTTATAAAAGTTTTTAAATATATTCAACTTTACTAAGTCTATGCTCAATAAGAATTCAGATATCCGAACTCTAGAAATCAGTCTATATGTTCAAGTATTAAAGTTTGAAATCTAGTTTATTAAGTTAACTAGATCAAGAAAGAGACTCGAACATTCTAAGTTAAGCCATCAGATAAAGATTTGAATTAAGATCTGACTATAAAGGTTGATTATGTATTTGAGCTAAGTATTAGAAGTAACGGTATTTCAGTATATATAGCCAAAAAGTACGGGTAAATCATGGGGGTTTGAAATAAGAACCAAAAGCCGGATAAGATCCTGTAGGCTTGAAACTGAACCGTAGAAATAAAGTTTTAGAAAATAGTCAATCTTTATAAGTCAGAAGTTTTGATATGTTATCAGTTAGATATCATAAGCTAAAAATTGGCAAAGTTCGAGATTAAGTTATAAGTTATTTTGTACTTGTTAGTAACAGTACAACTATACAAAGTACTTTTCAGAAATCAATGAGTATAAGTTTAAGGTATCGACATATAATAGTCATGTAGCCGGGAAATTTATGGAAACCTGAAATAAGGGTTATTAGTCCGAGTTTACCTGAAGACTTAAAAATCAAACCTTAAAAGATATCAGTTAATAAGTATTACATTCCAGATACCGAGATAATTATTTAAACTTCTCGGAAGAATTTTTGAAGTTAAGCAAGAGTAATCTGGACATGTGAAAGTTAAAGATAGTCTGTTTAATAAGTAAAGACTAATATGTTTTTTTTTTCTCTTTGGAGAAAGTATTTGTCTCCAAAGATAAATGATGAGTTTAAAGCCATAATTAAGAAATGGCGAGAAGAAGCAAGAAAAAGAGTTAGATTAACCGAAACTCTAGCACAAGCTAAGTGTTTTCGGAAAATTAATAATTTCCGTAAAGTTTAGTATAGCTATTTATTAATGGTTATACTGTTCAAGTCATATAGTTAGTGGTTTTAGAATGCGTGAGGCAAAGTTTCAAGACCACAATTGAGTATTAAGAAGCATAGAATCTTGACTGAATCAAGAAGTTATCTCAGTCCAGAAACAAGTAGTATTGATGTGTGAATCAAGTTTATACGAGAAGAGAATATTTTGCACAATCAATCTACTTGACAGATAGAAATTCTAATACCATTGAAAGTCAAAAGCAAAGAGCTAGACAAAGATAAGAGCACACTGTTGAGAATTTCCTTATTTCTAAGAAGCTAGTATAGAAATATCAGAAAAAGGAGATACAGATAAGCATAAAGGAATTCTCAACTAGTACAAAGTTATATTTCATAAAGGGAGGGTGCGTCTCAAGAGCACAAGACTCCATAACTCTGCCACCCATCATGGCTGTAGTTTCACAAAGATAGATCTAAAGGATCAAATGCTCGCTTGCGTTTGAATCCTGGAGTTTCCACAGAATCTTGAACTGTTGAGATGCTGTTTTGAAGTTTCTTGATAAGTTCAGAGGAAGTGTCAGCAGACTTGAATATTTCTCTTTGGAAAGGAGATATAAAAGTTTCATACACTCCTTCATCTAGAAATCCAATACGAACTTCGTGCAATCAGTCTTTCTAAAAATTTGCAGCAAATTTAATGTGTGAGCTTGATCTGTTTTCAACCCTTTAACCTACCGGTCCATGCCTTTGCTGCCCGATTGCTTTTCCCTTTCCGTTGATTACTACCTTTCGCTTAGTAGTCAAGTTTGAATTGTATTCCGAGACCCATCTTTATTATTCGATTCTCGTACCTTGACAAATTTTGCTTGATTTTCTTTTCCTTGTGTAGAATTTTGGATAGAGTTGAGCATCGAAATTTCATCTTCTATTGATTCTTATCGGATATTGAATCTTGTGTCGTAACGTCACTAAGTCGATGCAAAGGTTAACTTG